AGGAGGTGGTACACCTAGGTGGGCGGTACATCTGGATTGGCCCAATCTAGGTTAGGTGGGCTTAATTCAGCCAATGGGGTCAACCAGTACCGTTGAACACGCCTCCCAGCAGAGGACCCTAAAAAGCTGCAACCTAGAGACCACCGTCCTCTTTTTCCCAGCTGCTCTTCTGTCTTCTACTCAGCCATGCTGCTGTCTCTCTCTCTCTGTCTTTCTCTCTCTCTCTGACTGTCCCGGGCCTCAGGCTACCATGTGTGCCATGAGGGTGCCTATGTTCAGTTTACTGTAAAACCTGAAACTTCTTGTATCCTTTATAAAAACCCACTTGGATCACAAACCAGGCTTCAGAGTGAATTCTTTCTTGTGCGAAGCCAAGGACCGAGATATTTCTCACTAACGTATCCTTCTGTACTAACCTCTCTCTTGAATTTAACTCACCCAGCAGCTCCCTTTGGAAGCCATCGTTTTGATTGGACTTCATTTTTGAAGGTACCTTACTCAGCTTTTGTTGACTGCAGCCATGCACTGATCATAGACACATGTTTAAATATGCCTCCATGTTTGGAATCAGCCCTTGCACATGGGACTGGAACTCTAGTAGCAAGACTTCCTTACTTTTACCCTTATACATCCTGTACAGTGAAGTTCTTGTCTGCTAGTTAGATAATCAGTTTATAAATGCAAAAGCCTATTTTTAAATGCAGTAATATGGTCGTATATAGAGTGTGCAAATAAAAATTCCTAAATTGACTAATTTTCAGAGCCTCAGGCTCGTATGTGATCTTTTGTGTTGGCATGTTTGCTATACGTTATGTAACCTTAAAATTTTTAGAAAGAAAAACATAATAAACCCTAAGTAAGTCAAAGAAAATAATAAATATCAAGGAAACAAAAAAACCCCAACAGCAACACAAATAGAAGACAATCATGAAACGTGTGTCTTTGAGATCAATAATCTCTCATTAGGCTGATGAAAAAAAATCATTCAAGATGAAACAAATACCTTGAATAACTTTATACATATTTAATAAATTGAATGTAAGGTTAAGAGTCTTTCTGCAATGAATATTCCATATGTTGATGGCTTCAATTATTATAAAAATCTTAAAGGAAGAAATAATACGTTATGCAAAAGCTCTTCCAGAAACGTGAAGAGGATTAAGTACATTGTAATTCATTGTAGAGGTCAGAAATACAACACCAGGCAAAGGTTTCATAAGAAAACTACAAACTGAGGTCATTCATTAACATAAATATAATAATCATAAACAAAACTTAAGAAAACCAAATCCAGTTAAAATTAATAACGACTTCAGGGAAGCCAGCGTGAAGAGCTCCCATAGGCTTACTCTCTACAAAAACAGGTATAACTGGTGAAAACAATACAAAGAAACCAACAATTTAGTTTCCTGGCATCCAGCAAATGAAGAAACATTTACGAAACTCTAATAAAACTCCTAAGGAGAGTCTGTGGCATGTGAACATTCAGTTGCTCTACCTTGTCATCTAGGAATACTTTCAGTTTCCTCTTTCTCCTTCACTGTCCACTTTCCCCCAATACTTTCAATTCTATAAAAAAAAAAGTATTGGGTCTTCTACTTCTCTCTATCATCTACTCCCATGATCCTGGTCCAACTGTTAAGACTTCTTACAGAGACTGCCATTTGACACTCTCTTCCATTATTACCCTTCTCACGACCAACCAGTCTGCCAACACCCCAATTTTCATACAGTGATCAGAATGATCTTTTCAAAACATAGAGTCTGTGCTTCCTGGGCAGTATGCCCATCAGAGGCTTCACAATGAAACATTTGTCATTACTTCTCTTTGATCTGTGCCCCTCAACATATATTGACACATGTATTGATGCGTGTCTCTCCAACACATCATGATCTTTTCACCTCCGGGTCTTTGATGTGTGGTTCTGTCTACTTTGTGCGCTCTGTCTTTGATTTTTCACACGATGGCACTTCCCATTCATTAGTCCCCCCATCAAAGGTCACCTCTTCAGAAAGGTTTTCCTTTAATTACAATTGGTATGTTCTTCCCTAACCCACACCCAAATGTAAATCCTACAACCCAACTTAAACTTATTTTCTTTTTATCATTTGATTCAAGATTCAAATCATTTGTTCCTAAACTCATGAGATTCAAAGCAATGCATAACTTATAGAGCAAATAAGGCTATAGATGGAAATAGAAGCGTGTATTTATCAATACTCCATTAGGACTCTACCTCTTAAAATGAGTCTGTATTAATTGTGATGCTTTGTTTTCTTGAAGCGATCAGTTACAAACAATTCTAATATATAGTATGTGGTTTTCAGTGGCTAAAGAAAAGAGGGACTTTTGAAGCATTACCTTGGACAAATGTCTCATATAGATACCTGGCACCAGATTAGGAGGGACAGCCTCAAAATACTTGCTCTGATCTGTCACAGTGCTTTGGCTTTCTTCTGTTTCCTCTCTCATTCTTGGATTCCCAAACCAATAAGATCGCTACAGAGAAAGCCAAAATACAGTCACTACAACATGTATTAAGAAGTGAAACATTCGATCTGAACAGAATTATAACAGGTAAAGTGACTGGATCAGTAGTTGCAAACCTTCCCCCAAAGAAAAGCCTAAGACCAAATGCCTTCATAGTAAATTCATCTCTTCAGGAAGGCTTTCCTTTCATTACAATTAGTATTTTCCTCCCTGCCCCACACCCAAATGTGAATCCGTTAAATTCCACTAAGCAATTAAATAATTAACTCCTGCCTTTCTCTAACTCATCCAAAATACTGAAGAAGTGGGGATGTTATCTTACTCATTCTATATAATCATATACCTAAGTTAGACAAAGACATTATAAAAGAACTACTGACAATATTTCTTTAAAAAAAAAACCAAAACCGTTTTATTGGCACTTCTTGCACATATCATATAATTCAATAGTTCGATAAGATCAAGAAGAGTTGTATAATCATTACCACATTCAATTTCAGAACATTTCCTTCTTCCTTGTACATATTTTTATTTGTGTAATTATTATTTTTTAAATTGTGGTAAAATATACACAACAAAATATTCTCCAATTAAACAACTTATACATGTATAATTCAGTGCCATGGATCATACTCTTCATGTTGGACAACCATTATTGATATGCTTTTTCCAAAATTGTCCACCACCATTCACATAAACTTTAAGCCCTCTAAGGGAAAACTCTCCCTCCTTCACCCATGCAAATCATAGTTCAAGTTTAGTTTCTTTCTTTCTTTTTTTTTTAGTAGTTTTCTTGATATAATAGTCACATGTATAACATTTCCATAGTTAAATAGCTTTTTAAAAAGAGCTGTATATATATCATAACAATCAGTGCTAATGCTCCCTTCCCCGCCTGCATTCGTTATGTCCTTCCCAATTCCCCTCATCTTCCCCACCCTCAGCCCCATTCTTGATAAATCATTAGATCAGTGATTGTCTCTATGCATCCACTCTGTCTGTACTCCGTAAGCCCAAAAAACCTAACAGAAACAATAAAAACAAAAACAAACAGGAAGAAGAAAACCATAACATAAAGACAAAAATAAAAACGTAAGAAAGAAAAGACCACCAGTAATTTTTAAAAAGCCAGAGAAGAAATTTCTGTTGGGGAACAAGCAAGAAATAGTTGAGCCGAGAGCAAATTCAGGTTGGGTCATGAGGGAGGTTAACCAACCAAGTGTCATATCATATTATACCACGGTTTGATCCACCATAGTCAAGTTTACAATAATCCCTGACTGATAGTAGAGCTGTTGGAGCCCTTTGCCTGAGGTTAGAGGGATCTGCCAGAGGCTTAATCTGACTAGATACTATGCAGATGGGTTTTGGGCTCTCACTGTCCTCCACAACCTTCTATAAATTGGGTGTTGATAATTTAAGCTCTGCTACTATTGAGTATCACAATTTTGAATATTTGAATTTGAATTTTGGTATCATCATCTTTGGATCACACAGGCTGATGTGCTTCTTCAATGTGCACTTAATTGATGCCTCACTTAGATCATTACTTGTTTGAACACAAACTTTTAAGACCTCATACAAGATTCCAATGGATAGCCGGGTACCATCTGCTTTCTTCACCACACTGCTGTGGCACCCTTATCTTCAGTGATCTCTTCACAAAGGCAAGTATCAAGTAGGGTCATGTTATAAAAACTAACTGTTCTTAGATTGATGCTAGAATAACGTGGCTCGTCTGCGCTGGTCTCTGGGGAGTCCTGCCCATGTGTGCTAGCTACTTGGTGGCCATCTTGCTCTGGGCCCCAGATGAAGAAATATTCTTATGAATATATAAAAAATACCTTCATAAAACACTAGCAAACTCAATCCGACAGTATATTGACACAATTATGTATTTTGATGCAGGAAACTTCAAAAGATAATGGAAGAACTATACAGAAGCACTATACCCTAAAGAATTGGTTGGTATTCAATACAGGAAGTAGCATATGAACAATGATATTAAAGGAAGGAATCCAACTGCACTGAAGACATCAGAAAAAAACAAGCATCCACTGGAATGGATGGAATACCAATGAAAATGTTTCGACAGCTGATGAAGCACTGGAAGCACTCACTCATCTATGCCAAAAAAATGGGAAGGTCAACAGACTGTTGTGTCCATTCCAAAGAAAGGCAACCCAACAGGATGTGGAGATTATCAAATAATATTATTAATATTAAGTGCAAGTAAATTTTATTGATGCTAATTCAATAACAGTTGCAACAGTACTTTGGCAGGCAGCTTCCAGACATTTGAACTGGATTCAGATGAGGACGTGGAGCAAGGGATAACATTGCTATGTCAGATGGATCTTGGCTGAAAGCAGAGAATATCAGGATGATGGTTACTTGCATTTTATTGACTGTGCAACAGCATTTGACTGTATGGGTCATTAAAAACTGTAACATTGAAAAGAATGGGAGTTTCCTAACACACCATTGGTCTCATGTGGAACCTCGACCAAAAGGCAGGTAGATGAAAAAAACAAGGGGTTACTGCATGGTTTAAAATCAGGGGATGTGTGCATGCGGGTTGTGTCCTTTCACCATAGTTATTCACTCTGTATGCTCAGCAGATAATCTGAGAAGCGGGGCCATATGAAGAAGTTTGAGGTCTCAGAAATGAGCAAAGACTTATTAACCTAGATATGCAGATGAGAGCAAGGAGGACAGGATCACTTGCTAATGAAGATAAAGAACTGCAGCTTTCAGTATGGATTACAATTCCATGTAAAGAAAACCAAATACTTCAATAGACAAAATCATGATAAATAATAAATAGAGAAAAGATAGAAGTTGTCAAGGATTTCATTTTGCTTGTATCCACAGCAATGCGCATGGAAGCAGCAAGCAAGAAACCCAACTAGGTATTGCAATGGGAATGTATGTTGCACAAAACCTCTTTAAAGTGTTGACGAACAAAGACATCACTTTGAGGTTAAGGTGTGCCTGACCCGGCCCATAGGGCTTTCAGGTACCTCTCCAACATATGGTAAAGCTGGACAACACATCAGGAAGAAGGAGGAAAAGTGATGCCTTCGAAGTAGTGTGCAAGTGAAGAATATTTAATATATGATCGATTGGTATAAGAACCAATTTGTCTTAGAAGAACAATTCGAATTCTCCTTAGTAGCGAGTGTGGCAAGACTCTGTTTCAAGCATTTTGGACATAATATCAGGAAAAGGATACCATGCCTCATAGAGGGCTAGCAAAACGAAGACCCTCAATGAGCAGGACTGACATGATAAATGGTTGCAACAAAGACATCAGTATAACAATGAGGATTGTGTTGGACCAAGCAAGCACTGTTTCATTTTCTTAGACGACGTCTCTGTGAATTGGAATGGACACATGGG